TGAAAAAAAAAATTTACAGTGGCCTGCTGTCGCGATGGCTGTTAACGGAGAATAAAACTCGGTGCACGAGCAAGCACTGCAGCAGGCAGTAATGCAGCTGAAACCACATTAAATAAAAATGCACCACGGCACTCTGGAGAAATGGTACAAGTCGTGGAGAAGTAGTTCTTTCATTATATGGCTTACGTATTAATTAAAAACTACCCGACCCAGTCCTCTATTTGATTTTCCGTTGTGAGCGGTGTTGCGGAGAAAATCATCGAGCGTTTAAAATGCCGTGTGGGTCATAAGAAGGCACGTAAAACGGTTACGCTCATGACCGCAATAAATCACCTTTGAACGCTAATTCACCCTTTGAACCTGCATTCTGTAACCAATGAGTGGACCAAAGGAAAAGTCAACATTTGAGTGCCGAGTTTATAATGAGTAGTGGACAGCTAAATATATATTTTTACCGATTCTGCTACTGGCCCGGCCCGTCTGTCACAATTTACAACTCCATGTGTGCCCCCGAGCCAAAAGTTTGCCCACCCCTGCCCTAGAGGATAGTTTAGGTCACCGGTGTTTACGTGCTATTATATACAATATGTGTGCTTTATGCTAACATCACAAGACAAAAGTTGTTCCGTGTTGTGTGTAGTGAGAGCGCGCTAGAGTGGAGGGGGCCCCCAAGTCAAAGCTTGCTTAGAGGCCCCCAAAAGTCTGAGGGCCGTTCCCTAGGTCCTCAGCCTGTTCTCCTTGCCTCCTCATGTTATGGGAGATAGGCTTCATACCCCTGCCATTTGGCGTTTGGCAGCCGCCGGATTCCCTGGACACTCCTCCAGGGCCTTAGTATGCCAGGAGACTTCAGGACTGCCTTGATTCAGCTCATGCCTTTGCCCGCGAATCCGCGATCAGCAGATAAGTGCTGGTGTGAGACAGAAACGGAACTATGATACAAGGACACGAGGGCAGCACTTCCGGGCCAGGGAGCTGGTCTGGGTCTACAGCCCACAACGGAAAAAAGGCCGGTGCCCAAAACTTGACAACCTGCAGTGGGTTGGTCCCTGCAGAATACTGGAGAGGGTGGGGGAAGTTGTCTACAGGGTGCAGCTGCTTCCCAAGGGGAGAAAAGTTCCAAACAGTCAAAAATACCAAACAGATCACCCATTCTAGCCTCATTCCCCTCTATTTCAACCTGTTACTAAAGTGCTGATTCTGGGTCAGTAGCTTCAAACATTCACACTTCAACATAAGGCATGTTATGAGTTAAGATTAAGCCATAAGGTTGAGGGAACATGATACAACCTTGAGAACAAAATACTGTGGTCACTACCGAAACATGTTTTGTAAAAAACGTAGTATATGGAGTTATCAACTAAAATGATATGATACTGATTGGTTTAATGTATGTTCAATTTCAACAATCATCAACTCTGGAATCAATATGACCAGTATTATGCATTTTACAAAGAAAGTTTGAATTATGATTTTTATGAATTGTATAAATTGAACTTTGATATTTGATTAAAAATTCACTTTTATTTATTTATTTATTTTTAATTTAATTGTGAAAACCCTCAAGAAATATTTGTTAAAATATTATTTAGAGAAGGGAAGGTAAAACAATCTTAACAGGTTAATATAATACTTTTTTACTACAGTGTATGTACTATGTTTCGGTAGTGACCATTTTTGGTAGAGGAAGAACATTCAAATACAGTCTGAAAATACAATATAAAAATGTACGGTTCTTTTACTAGATATGTGTAATTTAGATATGGTACAAAATATATATGGACAAAGTTTTGGGAAAAAAACATACAACATTCCAAATCATTTCCAACCTGAGTTTGGTCCAATTCGGTAGAATGGCCCATATAGGCCTACGCTACCATTCACACATGTCATTCTTCATCAGAGGTACAACTCTTAAGGTACTTGTACTTTACTTGAGTATTTCCATGTTGTGCTACTGTGTATTCCTACTCCATTACAATTCAAAAATACACCTGGAGTAAATTCACAAGCTACTCTGCAGTATACAAAGTCATTAAAATGGCACCTATGCCAGCTTTGAGAACACTTGCGTCAATAATGATAATCAAAACATAAAATATATATTATTCTGAAATGGACCAACTTGCATAATGAGTGCTATTACTTTTGGTACTTTAAGTACATTTTTATGCTAATACTTTTGTACTTTACTTTTGTAATCTATTTTTCATACATATTCAAATAGATCGCTTCTCCTCACCAGATGGTTGCCACCATAAAAACAAAGTTGGTTATATTATTTTATATTTGCTGGGTGCATTCCTCTCCAATGTATTAATGAATGCATGTCCAATGTATACAAGAATAAATCTTTAAATTATGTTCTCAAAACGTCTTTAAGGTGTACTGTAACTTAAGTGTTGTGATGGTTTTACTGTACTTTCATGTCTATTAAAATAGAGTGTGACATCCCAGTAATAAAGCCATTCTACTGTCCAATTCTCCCTTTCTGGTTCTCTCTCTTTCCATATATCCCAATGAGATTTACCTAGTGTTTATGATTCAAAGTTACCCTCCCATCAACCTCAACATCTTTGTTGCATAAGATTGATGTCCAAAAGCTGCCAAATAAACCTGATGACAAGTTGTTTTCCAGACTATGTGGAGATAGGCAAAGAGAAGAATTATAGAAAAGCAGCTTCTATTTATAATGTATCAGCTGTCAAAATATAATATAGAATAAGTATACAGATATCAAGCATGGTTAAAAATGAAGATATTTAGGTGTGAACGGTGTTGACCAATGAACAACAAAAATAATGCTGTTTATGTGTTTCATAAAAACAAATTCATTTATTGTTTGTGTAGTAAACTAAATAAACAGAATGATATATTTGTAAAGCTTAATTATACATTATTCTGGAGGTGGAGTAATGTAACATTCTACTTCTTTTTATTTATATTGATGCCTGTTAATGTTTAAACAATGCAGATGGGTGTTTCAATAAAATGAAGCCAGCACAACAGAACACAGAATATGATGAACCCAAAGTGTATGGGGAATAGTGCTCAAGGGTCTTGGCTAAAAAAGAACATTAAATGTAAGATTCTGCATCTTCCCCTCACCCAAATCCTTTTTGTATCGTCCCTAACCAAAAAAAAAAACAGGCCATAGTGAACAGAGAAGTTGGAATATTGGAATTTTTTAGGAATAATTATTCGGTTTCTACGTTTTCTGGTTTCAAATAAGTTCCACACTGTGAAATAAATGTATTATCTGTCACTGTCAGTCGATATCTCTGCCCTGCAAACTTGGCCGATGTAAATCTGTGAGCTGAGTGAGGATCCTATTAAGTCAGAAAGTTCAACAGTGTTATTCCGTCAATGTTATCTGCTTCCGAATGTTAACAGCAGAAGCAAGGTGATGATGTGACATGTATTTCTTTCCATTTGTACTGTTGCTGGGGCTCGATAAGGGAGTCAGCATGCCCGTGTCAGAAAGAGGAAGAAGGGGGTTCAGAGGGCACTGAGCAACCTGATGGCAGGATTGTCAATAGAGCATGTTGGCGTTGGAGACCAGGAATCTGACACCACCTTCTCACAAATGCTGCCACTTGGAGTGGCGTCTCATCCTGAGTGACGGTCTACAAGACTCCAGGCTCTGACACCTCCTTATCACTGTGGCATGGAGCGGGCAGCGAGAGGCCCGCCAGGCATGTGACGCTAGAGTTATGGGGATTAAGGTTGTTAGGTAGACACTGCTGTGATTACATGACAATGAAACAGGCTGTACAAGAGATCAAAACTTGCTTAATGATAATTTTATTCTTTACAACTATGATAACAATAATATCTGTGTGATAACCAAAAGCAGAATATGAATGGCTGCGGTGTGAGGAAAGATTTCACAGCAGTTTATAGCAATGTTAGGTAAGAGATATTGTTCATTTTTCAGACAGGAATCCCAGAAGAAATCCAAGACACTGTGAAAGTCATCTCCTGGTCAAAAGCTAGATATAATGGCAAGCAAATAAAGGGAAAAATGTCACATACTTTCAATAAATTCAGCAGCTACAACGTACCATAGTCCATCTTCTTAATGAGCATATAGCCAATGCAATGATTTTAAGAGACTTTTCATACAAAAACAAAAACATACAGCATCCTATAAGTAGTGCAAATCATTGTTATCCGGGGGCTATCCTGAATTGTAGATTTTTCAATTATTCTGAAACTGAATATGCTGGAGCAACTACTGCATTAGATGTATTTCCTGCCAGAACGAAATGTAGATATTATAAAGAACGGTCTGTGATGAAAAGATGTCAGATAATAAGATATTGCATTTACATATTGCAATAAGATGGCGTGTAGAAGTATTTTCTTTTCAAGCACTGTAATAACCCGGGGCGCGAACTTCACTTTTGTCAGATTCAGTACCTTGAAACATTCTTTTGATCTTGGATCCCGCTCACATACTTTGAAACAATTCAGAAGGTTGTTATTGCGACTGATAACAGTGCTGTAGTATTGAACCTTTTGACTAGCTCGCCATTAATGACATGGAGTTTCCAAACAGGATTTATCGGAATATTCAGACATCCACTCTCAGAACCTTCTTTCTTTTCTCTTGCAGTGTCAGATGGGGCCGATAACATACAGTAGTATTTGCAGGAATAGGGCCTGTGATTTACGCTGTAATGTGGTATTATCCAAAAGCATTCTAAAATACAAAAAACAGCAAATAATATATTAAACCATGACAAAAGCTTTATATTCTACATTAATATAATAATAACCTTTATACAATTACAAATGTACATCATTTAGCACAGCATGTGTCCGTCCCTAATATACAACTATATGTCTAGAGTTCTGTTTTTGCACACCACTGTAGAGATCTTAAATACTGTGGAAACAAGCACATGATAAGGAATATAAATAGATGAATAGATGTGTTTCTGAGATGATGGTTGAAACATTGGTGCAGTCTCTCTCTCTCTGTGTAAATGTTTCCAAGACTATCTACAGCCACACTCTGCCACCACCATTCCCTCATACTTGTGGTTGAAAGTGACCACTCCGTTATCGTGATAAAGGAGTGGAATTGACTCCAACTTAGTGGGTACACAGCAGGCACGCGATGCCCTCTCCGGACTCTTAACACTCAGCAGTGTCTGCACTATGGCATGTTTGGTAGGCGAGACCTCGGAGGTCATAGGGGGGTTGCACACGCCGTTGCACTCATACGCCTCATAGCCCACAGGCTGGATGATCCACGTGTCCCAGCCAATGTCTTTAAAATCCACAAAGAGTGGGGTCCTCTTGCATGGCTCGCTCTTAACATTGCGACGGATTCGGGGAGGTGTGTCATAGATAAGGTTGGACTGCAGTTGCATGATAGACTGTTTGTCCAGCTCGTCCTGAATAGCGTGGCCGGCATTGTGGTTCCCCCAGAAAGCTGGTTGGCTTCGGCCTACATTATCAGGAAGGTCATTCTCATGTTCGATCATCTGGTTGAGCTCTTGTTTATCCTGCTTGCGATCTCCGATTTGATCATCTGAGAATACAATCATCACCGCATTGTGTTTCCCCTCCAAACTCCTGTCGATATCCACCCCAACCAATCTCTCGTCCTGCTCCGTGACCTCTTGAGTGACCCCTTCCTCTTCTGACCCAAGACATGCAATATGTACCTCCAGACTGTGAGTAGCAAACCCCAACGACTTCCGCCAGGGTGCAACCGCATGAGTCAGGTCAAACGACACCCAGCTCTTATCTTTGGCACGAAAATGCTTTGTCACCAGTTCCTCAAAATCCTTCATCTCCACCACCTCTTCTTTATCCCTCCTTCTCCCTTCTTTCCCCACCTCTTTAGTCCAAAAAACGCCCTCGTGTATTTTGTAAATGGTCACCTTGCAGTCAATGCCGGCATTTGGTCTTTGGGCCTTCTGGAACAGGGTGAAAAGGCGGAGCTCAGCTATGGTGATGTGCTCATGGTGGTGCATGGAGATGTTGAACAGCAGGGGATGTATCCGTACACCCCTTGTTGTTATGCTGTAGGGGGAGGAATCTGAAATCAAGATATCAAAAAAAGTGTTAATCAATGCATTTTGTATGTTTTTGATGTCAAAACCCATGTTAAACTGTTACATATTAAAACGTAAACACACAAAATTCACGCTTTGTTTTTTTGTAAATAATATTGATTTTCAAGGCAATTAAAACAATAAACACTTCTAGATTTACAGTATTATGATCAAAGCAATCAACATTTTTAAATCCTTAAATCTTAAGAATGTCAGAGAAAACCAATAATAAATAAATAAATAACTTATTTATTTTTGTGCGATACTGAATATTTAAATGCTCAAAAAGTTTGTTAAACACAAAGAAGTTTGTACCTTCATTCTTGAAACTGCGAACGACGTTGGCTGAGGGAACAGCCGTGCGGTCGTTGGCAAAGCGGTCGTACAGCTCCAGCATGTACTCTGGGGGCTGCCTGCGGGCAGGCAGAGGCCTGGGCTGGGGCCTCAGCTCGGTCAGGTTCATCGTGGAGAGAAACTGACTCAGAAAGGCCTGAGCGTCAAGTAGCGGATTATCACCCATCCTGACTGATACCCTGTGACTGTTCTCAGGGGACCTGATAGGACTGCTCATGCTCAAACCAGTCAACATCAGGAGAAAGACATTCGAAGAGCGGATAAATCCAAAGTTGGAGAGGACTGAAACGGCCATGGTAGAGTGGAGTAAAGGTTTAAAATCCAGAGATTGAGTATCAGATGAGAAGACGGGAGGGATCCTTTGGAAAGAATACCTGCAACTGGGAAAGACTGTCCTTCGGTAAATGACAACAGGTTGCTATTGGGGGCAAAGACAAAACAGGTTTGCCCTTGTTGATCTTGAGGTTTGGTTCTGAGGGCAGGGCTGTGCTGTCCAATGTGCTGTGCTGACATGTTTGGAGATGTTTGGCCTTGCTCTGCCCACCTCCCTCTCCACCCGCCAGGACCTTATCATCCATTTCGACTGATATCTTGATGCATGCATTTTTTTCCTAATTAACCACTGACAAAACTTGCCTTAAAGTGACTTTAGATCAGCATTATATGTTCATGTATGTAGTGATTTATGTAGCACAATGCTGACATTTAAAATGTTTAACCGTTATAAAAAACAATTAAAAAACATAATGGGTTTGGAGATAACAAAGTTTTCAAATGATGTTGGTGGTTCTACTTTTCATTTTAATGCCTGAAATCAATTACCAATTAACAATATGTGTTCATTTATGCTATGCAATCTCCACAAGAGGCCAGTGTAGACTCAGTGTCTGTACTTCTGCCTCTTCTTCTTAAATGTAATTAAACATTTTCATTAAGTGGTTAAGAGGGTTGATTTGATCTCATTTGCATATGCTTTTAGCTAATTACTGGTGTTGTTTTAATAGCGGCTCTCTGAAAGCTCACAAATGCAATCATTGACATCAAAGTACACTCACTTTAACAAACAAAAAACATATTTAAATAAATGAAAACTAATTTTAAAAATATGTCATTTTAGATGATTGAGACATACAACACTATGAGATTCCACCCATAGCTCTGAAAACACATATATGAGACATACACATCATGAAGCTACAGATATTTGAACACAGTACATGAGTATCTAGATGCCAACACTTTACTGCTGCAGCCTGCCGAATGAAACATGACTAATGTCAACACATTTCAGCGCTCTCAGTGGCATTGTGCAACCAAGATCAAAGTTTGTTATCAGTCCTCACAGCGACTGCCGATATGAGGTTATATAAATGTCTTGACAGCTTGTCTGGGTGCACATGAGGTAGGAAATGTAGTATTCTAATGTTTATTCAAGGCAAAAACATGTTATTTATTTGGTTTTAAAATATGAGAAATGAGAATACAAAGACAAATGTTGCATTGGTATTCTTTGGAAGTGTTTTTGTGATACTCCTTTGCTGAGTCACTGCTTAATCAATAAATGCATTATGTATAGGGCGTGACAAGCATAATACATATTCAAACCATATATTGTACGGTACATTTTTGTCATCTCTGATAAGTTTGTTGTAAGGTATTCTGCATACTGAATTTATGCTAATATATTGAAATGTTGTGAGTTTTGCAAAGAACTGGACATTACTAGGAGTAGACAAAGCAATCTGAACAGTATTGCAATGGATGCTGTAGAGTAGGTCATGTTTGAATCTATATTTAACCAGGTAGTCCGGTATTGCAGTAGGTTGCAGACCAAAATACAGTATGTATAGAGAACATCCAACATATTGCTGTTTGTTTCAAAATATAACTGCTGGGAGTTGAGCGTGTTTTCCAGACTGTTCCCCTGGAATAATTAAATTAATTAGTCAGTGTTTTTTGGCCAATGCACCTCCATTTTGGCACAGATTTCTCCTCTTTGGATCTCTTTGGGTAGGTAAGTGGTTTGAAAACTTGCATATCATTTTTATGAGTGCCAGAAATCATCTACAGCTGTCAAATTCTGCCAACTGGCATTCAACCAAATATGACACACATTTGTAGTTGTGTTTGCAATTGTTGTTTAGCTGTGTTAGAGTTTGGTTTTTATTATGTTGTACCAGCACATAGTGTGACTGCTAGCAAAGAATAAGCCCTGGCTGTGTACAAATGTTCTTTATACAACGAATGTGTAGGTTTTTAAGTTTGACCACAACGTAAAGAAATTTGAAAATCCAATAGTCACAACTGACTGCCGATAAAGAAAATGAATAGGAGACTTTATCTATTCATTTAAACCTGTTCAGAGAACATAAATACAGGGTTGTTAAACCAGCCGGGGGGTGCTGTTTTGGTACCCACTGATAAAATGGAAGAGGGCATAAAATCCAGTCTGCAAAACAAAAAAAGACTTCAATAAAAATGTGAAATTATGCACATCATTTATTTTCATTTTTCATTCAATATAGCGATGCAAAAAGGACCACTGCAAAGCAGAGTTGTATAGAATGTAGGATCACTTACCGGGATTAGCTAATGCACATCGATAACCTTTAATTAATAACATGGGTATTACAATAAATATTACAATATAAATACCTTCATTTAGAATATTAACAGTCTTTTGTTACACATTTACAATTCCCTTTTGCCTATCATGAAACAAATGGAATAGAGAGGCTTCGCTAATAACAGCATAGTCGAGTCTGATGGCAGCTTTGTCAAGAATGAACTGAATTCAAAATAATTTGGATGTTTTTAAAGACGAGGCCGACGATGGCCCTAATAGTAATTATCTCAAACACTGACCAAATTATATTTAAATAATTTTATATCAGAATATTTTTCAGCCCATAACCCATGGGGATGGACAACAACCGATGCTAATTTAGGCCTTAAACTTGACAAACTAGACGTTTTATAAATTATTTCCTTTTTGTGTAGCAATACAATTTAAATTGTACATGTCATATCATCTTTGGAGTCATGATTCACCACAGTTTGCATATTCAGGCTATTTCATATCTCATACATAATCCTTCATGAGTTTTTCAGAAATACAGTAGGCTATATTATGCTAAAGGACAAAATCTATTAAATGTTTTTCCAAATAACCTCCATAATATATACATGTAAATGTTTGGCACGTTATTTCCTGTAAACTAAGGAAATTATTTGAATTGTCTGTACAAGAATGAGCAAATAGCACAAATCTGTATTTCACCAATGGAGAGTGTCTCTACAGGATGTATCTGGCCGTGTTGTGGTGTTTACACCCAGGAGTCCAGCGGTGGAGGTTTGTTATCCATGAGGCCCACTGCAGGCCTGCCAGCTCTGATGAAGTGTTTTCTCTCACTCAGCGCCTAGGTAAAGAAATGTGCAAACAGACGGTGTTAGTCAATTTGAATCAGCAACACTGAAAAGACTGCCCATTAAAATCACAAGGCAATAATCCTCTAAAACTGATTTTAATAGAACATACCTGGAGGTTGTCTCTTTCCACAACAGGCCCTTTAGCATCTCCAACTCTATCGTTTGGCTCTAAACTGGAGTATACATCTGCAAAGGAAATTATAATCACATTAGCGGAAGACAATATGGCAAATGTGGCATTTTACTGACCATTTTACTAGATGCTAAATACATATAATATGCTATTTCTTGTACTGGTGTCTGCAGAAGCCTATAAACCCTACACCAACATTCATTTTCACAACAGGCCAGTCATTAAAAAGCAGCAAAGCCTCAGAAGCGATTACTAGATGACTGAGAGAAACAGGCACTTGTAATGAAATAATTCATTAAAAGCTTGCTTGGAAGCTAGAGGTCGCTCTTGACGTGAGAAAGCGGGTGCCCTTTTGGAACAACGTTGAAATGAAATGTCACTGCTGAGGCGTGCGCCTTCTCTGCCTGTGGGGGGGCATGTTCAGGCTAATAAGCTGAGTCTCTGCACTGATAACCCTGGCAGCACATCATTGGTTTAAGGCTATGATTCAGAAGAATATGGTGTGGTACTGAAAACCCCCCATTTCTTTGTCCCTGACATGACAAGAGCCACAATATGTTTAAAAGCCGCTTTTATTCCCCGAGCTAGAGGACACTTTTCTCATACAGATGATGGTTTAATAATAGTTTGAATGCATGCAATGATTTGCTGACCTTGGTTTTTGTCCATGAGAGGCAAGGTGATGTCATCGGCGCCTTGCTTTCCACTCTTAGATTTTTTTGTCACCCCGGTAGCTGTTGGCTTTGAAAGATAAAAAACGATTATGTTACTGGATGACTACCAGCATTTTATGCTTTCCTGTTATAATGTTTTAGAGGGGTATTAAAATGGTACCAATTAGAATGAATTGTGCTGTGTTGGACAGCCACACAACTTTACTTTTTCAGGAGACAATAAGCTTAAATGTAATGATCTGTTTTACAACTCACATAAAGGGTTTCCTGTGTCCTCAGTGGCAAACAGCCGACTGTGCAAAATATTTTCTGGGTTCAGATTAAGCCCAAATGTCCCCACTCCGACAAAACACTGATTTATTACCTGAATGTATCTTGTTTATTTTTTACTCATCCATGTTTGTATTTCTCGACTCACATTACTACTAGAAAAGTGGTTTGTCGTGCCAAATCCAGAAACTTGTAACAAATACCTTAAAGTGGGTCTTGTTCCAGCCGGCCTTGACCAGGACGCTTCGCAGGTCCTTGTAGGCCCATATTGTCTGGAGCACATGGGAGGCAGCCTTGGTCTCCCGTGCTGATTGGCTGACAACAAGTAATAAGACAACGTGTTAAACAGCAGAGGAAAGCTCTTAGACAATACTGTCCGCATGAATAAAATCTATTCCTGATTGCCCTGGGTGCTTATAATATCACGAGTTAATGAGGCTGTGTCTGAAGTATAAACAGATATTAAGCAGTTGCAGCAAGGAATACTATAATGCAAACACTATTATTTTCCATCTTATATTGAAAANGTAGTGACCACAGTATTTTGTTCTCAAGGTTGTATCATGTTCCCTCAACCTTATGGCTTAATCTTAACTCATAACATGCCTTATGTTGAAGTGTGAATGTTTGAAGCTACTGACCCAAAATCAGCACTTTAGTAACAGGTTGAAATAGAGGGGAATGAGGCTAGAATGGGTGATCTGTTTGGTATTTTGAGCAAAATACTTCACAGACATATTTTTTATATATATGAGACCTATAATATATGCCGAACAACAGTATAATAAGAGACCTTTAAAGTAACACGCAGATTTTCAAACTTTAAAACACATATATTTCAAAATGGTGGGATTTCCTTGCTTACCATTCAATTTTGTCACTACCCGAAACGATCATGTCAATTACCGAAACGTACCCGTATGTTTCGGTAGTGACGATTCCAGCTAAAGTTGACCATAACTAAAGAATGCTAGCAAGTACAGTACATGGCTAGCATACACGTCTTTGAAGAGGTTAACACACTAGGGATGTGCATCTCCATCACTGAGGCCGATGCGATGCGCATCTCGATACGTTGCCACGATACGATACATTAACGATACATTTGAAACACCAGGCGATGCGATACGATACGATTCACCCCTGTTGCGATACAGTTCGATACGATTTGATTCAACATTATGCGATTCGGGGCGATACGATACGATTCAACACGATGCAAAAATAATGATACTTCAATATGGTACGACAGAGGATTTTTGTTTTATTCCTGATATGCAGCAAATCATACATTAACAAAAAAGTGCTTTACATATTTGGTACTGCACATGAGCACATCCCATCTTGCCGTTTATTTTTTTACCTTTAAAAGCTCTCCAGAGTACAATTGTATAACACCTCACAGTTAAACAATGTAAGGATGCATTGCTCATGATTAACAATGTGCAAATAACAGCTACCATAGAGCAATGCCCATACAGCTGCCAGCCTGATGTGCTTAACACTCATTCATAGGCTAACTCACCAGTGAGCAGAAAGCAGTGGTTTCTATATGAACAATAAAGAATACAAATAACCTTTCACAAACAGGTATTTCATAACTGCTTACAGTAAGGAAGACATTTAAATTATTATTGGCCACAGGCTGCTGTAAACTAAACATCACTCTCTCTGACAGAACACCTCACTGAGTGATTTAACTCATATGTCTTACTTTCAGGTTTCTCTTTCCAGCCGCAGACCCCATGTCGCCTCTTTATGTGCGTCGCTAAGTTCCTCGTACTACTTGTGTACTTTAAAGCGGCACGGCATCGTTTACAATTTGCGAGCGATTTTTCAAGTTGACCGTCTTTCATGAAAAATTTGAAGTGTTGCCAAAAGTTTGATTTGTAGGTATTTTTCGGTGCGCTGTGTTTCTCTTTTTCCTCGACTTCATGTGTGTTGATAACTGAGACTCTCGGCCTCCGTAGTGCGAAGCAAAGATCAAAGATCGTCTCTGCTGAGCGTTGACAAGATGAGGGGATTTTATATGAATGAATCGTTTTTTTACCGATGCAAAGACGCTACAATCGATGCATCGCGAGTTCAACCCAAACTGTAGCCGATGTGCACTCTTTCAACCGGTGCACTAGCATCTTGAACGTTTATGCCGATGCACCGATGCGAATCAGTGAATCTTAACATCCCTAGTGTGTATGCATAGTAAATAGGCTCAGCAACAGACACACCTTAGTGCAAAGATAAATAGCAGATAAAGCACTACAAAGTGCCTGCCAGTAAACCCAAAGCAGAAGTGACGTCAGCGGCTTCATTTGCCTTATCCTTCCTCAGGGAATTATTCCGGTGAGGACGCAGATCGAGGGACTAATGAGCTTGGGGGGAACAAGTACTGGGGACAAGTACCGGCAAAGTACTTGGTGTGAAAGCGGCTAAATTTAGTTGTACGTGCCTTGCTGCCTGTAGCACTATGCTTGATGGAGCATATGTGTGGGCTGGACCTGTATAGTTTAATTTACAGGAAAGGAGGAAATACTCAGGAAATACTCACGAGTCGTGAGTAAATCTGATTTTGTCAGAAATCGGGAGAAATATGACCCCGGGAGGAAACCGGCAGTGGGCAATGAAATTGGGAGGGTTGGCAAATATGCCTGCAATACATATGCTGCAGCTGCTACTTCATAAAGGAAATGGTGGTCAATATTAACAGCATAGGAGCTAAAACGCTTGAGAGAGAGCTGCGGTCCTCCTGTCCTCACAACTCTTATTAATCCCGGTACCGGACGTGTTATTTGTTCTTACTCGGAACCGAGTTTAGCTTCCTAATCCTTCCACTGTGCTCGCTACACGTCCCGTCTAACAGTACAGAAGGGTTCGGTACGATTTCGGTACCGAACCCTACTCCTCAGTCATCCTGTTAGTTTAACGTGCCTACCTTAGTTAATTCCCAGGTGAACATGTGCGGTGGAAATACTAGAGGGATTAATCCCATGCGTTAACGCGTTAACTTTGACAGCCCTAATTATTACTAGCCTACTATAAAGTTACATGAAAAGACCACAAATAAGGAAAATTAAATGCTGAACTATGAGAACAAAAACGTCAGCATCTGGTCGTTAATAAAGTATGACTATGTTCGCCTTAAATCCACACCCTCTCGTGCACTGTGTAAGGAATGAGGCGCAATACGGATCCTGTTTACAGTATATGTGGCATTAACAAACTCCAGAAAATACGAGACTAACTTTAGGCGTATACGCTAAATGGTATAAGTGTGGAAAATAATACATTTTAACTTATCCTATTTTGAATTTCTTGGACTGACGTTAAATACAGCGAGTCAAATATACAATTTAAAATATCCTCTTTGGGCGAGCCGGTTGTAACTCACATTTTTTACTCACTTTAAATATTCTCCCTATGTTCTCCAGCTTGATGAATCGTCCTAGTTCCCCGCCAGAGGTTCACGTTATCTTGCTCGAACATGTTGGTGTACCGTTGTGGTGGAGCTGGAGGAATTTCCTTTGGTCTCCGTTTGGCTCAATTTAACAGAACTTTGGATTTCCCCGCTATATTTTGCACGGCCGGAAGTAATCGTTTAGAAATAAACCGTTAACTTTTAAAACAGTCGTGCAAAAAAATACTTAATTTACACTTTATTAAACGTCATAAACATTTGAAACCTGCAAACATGTGAACATGAAGCTATTATTTTCATTAAAAAATAACTAAATTATTATATAAAAACAATTATTTCGGGGGCGGATCTCCACGGACTCTCCTACAAAATACAAGAAACGTTACTTGGAGGGGTCCAACACGAGGTAGTCAATGACAGAGACTGCAGCTTCTAAAACTGTCCCAAAGGAGTGGAACCAACTTTAAGTGCGCCAACTGTTCTAGATTTAAACGTCGCCCACCACTGCTGCTGTAGGCCTACTCGAACAGGCTGGTGGAGTCCAGCCTACAATCTTACCTAGAAATTATACAGAACATGTTACATAGTGGCTGTAGTGATGAAAATATACATCACCACTTCACTTTTGAATGTGGCATGCAAAGAGAAACATCCACCGTTTTTGTAGAACAAGATTTAACAAGACAGCGAGTGACCGACCACGAACTGGAAGCTGCTGTCTTCAATTCAGTAAAAGAGGTAATATTGGGCTTCAATACGTTATATGGCGTTAATGTCCCAGAGATACATTAAAATAAATGGTAATTGTGTATTTTCATTATTATACTATATGTGTGTATGTGTGCTGTAGCAATTGGCTAACCTGGCCAATTGGCTAACCTGGTACAGACACCTGCCTCCTGTGGGCGACTTCTCCATCCATTCATTCATTATTTAATAAATGTTTTTGTGTGTGGCTCAGGGAGGGCGGCGCCCTAGCGCCCTCTATTGGCCATCCGCCACTGCAAACGTTAAATTGTTCTAATACTCTTCATTTTGAATGTAATTGTTAGGCTGATAAAACTGCAATGCTTGCAATTAGGCCATTGTTTAATGCCATTATCTCGAGAAAACGATCATTGTTATCTCTAAATTATCAACCCGGTAACATAATTTCTGTGGTTAAATAGTGGAGGCTATACAGTGTCAAACATGTATTCCATGCCAGCCTGTATAGATGGCATAGATTATAATAATAATAATAATAATAATAATAATAATAATATTCCTAGAGGTAACTTTATTCTGGGTTAACATACATGGATTATGCTTACATTTTTGACACTACTGTATTTCACCCACATACATTAGTTTACCTTGGTTATTCTGAAGTGGAGCTGTCCAGGCCCCTGTCGGGCTGTTTAGGTTTTTTTCCTTTCCCTCCACATCCAACTACGATTACTTTCTTATGTCATTATCTATAGAAATTGGCCTTATGTTTCCTCCATGTTTATGTAAATGTATATACATGTGTGTATATTTATATATTTGTCGTCTTAAACATAATTGTTATAACTAACACTAATAATTACGATCTTATCTATTGTTTGTCTTCAGTGTCAGCCTGACAGTTTATTATTTATGTAATTGTTACTGCCAAAAGAGTGTAGTTCTTGTTTAATTGTTACACTGTCAAAATAGTGTAGTTGTTTTTATCTCATATTGCACTACAAGTGCCCTACTTAGAACATGATTGTTGAGGCTACAATAAAGATGCCTGTCAAAATGTCTAAACATATCTTTTGTGTTTTATTGTTCCACTACATTTCATAATGATAATTGCTACAATGATGGGGAGTTGTCTTTTCTCTTACTGTGCCACAGNCAGAAGACTCGAAAAAAAATCAGCAAAGATGTTTTATTGAGTGGATGATCACTATTGGTAATTGGTAATTTTTTGGTAATTGGACTGTACTTATATAGCGCTTTATCCAGTCTTTAAGACCCCTCAAAGCGCTTTACATACTACATGTCATTCACCCATTCACACCCATTCATACAGAGCAGTGTACCTTACTCTAGGACCTAACATTCACACACATTCACACACCGTTGGCCATGCCATCGGGAGCAACTCAGGGTTAAGTATCTTGCCCAAGGATACATCGACATGTTGACTGCATGGGCTGGGATCGAACCCACAACCTTCTGGTTGAAAAACGACCACACTCCCTCACAGCCACAGTCGCCCTACGTGACAGACGTTTTCAAAACCGTTTATGGTCTCCGGTACTTCCAGTCCAACGCCTACTGCATGCACAGCGTTAAAATCGGGCCTTCAAAAATAAAAGCTTGA